TGCCTAAACGTGTATCACGCATGGCACATAACTGACTTAACCCAAGTACTTAAAAAAATTGATCATAAATGCTCGCATTATACTCGAGTATAAAATATTAAAATTACAACCACTCCTTATTTACCTACTCACCCGTTTAACGATCATCGAATTTACGACCATTACTTTTATTAAGCTTATTTTCATCCCCATCTTTGTTGTTGTTATCACAACGTTTCGGCTGTTGTACTCTTCGGCCTCCATCAGGTGTATGTTGATCCGAGTATAACCTAGTTTCTTTCTGTTGCCACATGAACTGCAGAACGCTATTCACTAGGTGTGCCACTTAAAATCTACAAATAGCTTATATAAATGAAAAATTAACAATGTTTCTTTTCCTTTCTCCAATTTCAGTTCATCTTCATTTATTTGATATAAAATATGTTCAAGATGATGCCCAGTACTGCAATATTTGACTACGACAGGCCTACTGGTATAGCTCAGAAGCTGGGGTCACATTATCCTTGAGCTATATGAAAAAAAAATCGTTTTTTTTTCCAAAAGATTCCGGGGTCGCACTATACATTAAGTAGACACGAGTATATACAGCGATATACAAATAGCAGTATCGACGTCAATTTTTTCTACCTATTACGCGATCATTAAATACGGTAGCAAAAATAAACACTTAAGTTTTAGATATAAAAAAAGAATGCTTCTTCCAGTTTCGGGAGACGGATATTTTTTATTTCTAAACATCCATATGTTACGTTACGAAACAATAAAACTACATTGAATCAATAGCTGCATCTACTGCAAGTAAAGTCATTGTGACAATCTATCTTGCACGTTTACAAATCTACCATTCGTTCGTGCCTTGAATACTGCTACCATATCTGGCCTGGTGCTCCTGCTATTCAGGTTCTTGGCAAAATCCAAAGAAGGATCTGTAATGTAATCTTGACTAGATATCTTGACTTAGTCACTTTCTCGTCGACATAGTGTGGTGTCTCTCTGTCTTTTCTACAAATATTTTCATGGCAGCTGCTCTAACGAGCCTTTTTTCCCTGGTGCCTCGGCTATGTGAATTTAAGCGTGCTACTAGATTGGCATCTAGGTACCACTCGTTTACTGACGAAATAACTAAATGCAACCTCCACTTCTACTCCAACAGTTTCATTTCTCGCACTTCCCGCCTGTGAAACTCCAGTCCGTTTACTTCCTTCCCTGATAACTACAATCTTAAAAAAAAATGCAACGTCAATCACCACCATCTATCTTTTTGAATCCCGTTCATCTTTTGTCCTTTCCTCAATCTACCATATATTCGATTTTTTCTCTCAATTTCACTCCCTGTAACTCCCCGTGTACTAGTGGAATTTCCGCCTTGCTTGGGGTGAAATGATTAAAAATAATGTATTAAACAAATTCAAAAATAAAGCTCTGATTTTTTGTGCATTACTTCTGTTGATTACAGGGAATTTCAATCTGAAAAGGTAGATTGTTTTCGTTTCACTGTCCATGTCTAATTCTAATTTTAGTACTATTCTGTAATAAGTGATAAGTGAGGATTGACTGTATACTAAATCTCTTATACGTAACATTACATTTTCTTCAACTCCATCTGTTACTGTATCCATTCTGGGCTGGAAGTGTTGCTTTTGAAGTTTTCTACAAACGTGGCTCACTGATGAACCTGGTTTCTTTGATGGTTTTTTTGGTATTATCTAAAATAAACCCAGTATATTTTACATCATCGTCAAGAAAAAAAAGGTTCATTATTGAAAAAATTGATTCGGAGCTCCCACATACTTTTCATCTGTTTTGTTTCTGGTTAGATGGTTTTTCTCACATGTGCACATCCTACACGCAGCTGGGTCTGACCACGTGTTTCCATGGTTTATCGTCGCTAGAGTATTGTATTTTGTTGATGTTATAAAGATTAACCACCGTTGAAGGTTACAATATTTACAAATCAAGCTGATCTGCACCCGTTAGCTATGAACTTGTTTTACTTATGCTTTCAGAGTCTCACTGAAACCTGGTTTCTTTGATGGTCTGATACATTTTATTTATTTTCAGTCGAGGGCAAATCCATTACAATTTTACAATAAAATTTGTATTATCTAAAATAAACCCAGTATATTTTTTCGGGAAATATCATAGAGTCAGGATTATCGGATCATCGCACAAGATCAAACTATGTCTTACAGAAAAAAATCATTCTTTGGTTCATTATCCAGCCATTATCTTCTATAATTTAGCTTCATTTAGTCAAAAAAATGTCTGAAATAAGGATTTAATTTACCCAATAATTTTTTTATTTCATCAACATCTTTTTTTCTTGTGTTGTAATTGTTTAAATTGGAAATAACATATCATCAAAAATATCATCAACAAAATAGATCTGATGATAGGAAAAGTAGATAAACCACTTGGTGGACTACTTAGACAGCATATTACTCCCCGAATAGTGTCCAACGTATTTATGAGAATTGTTAGTGTTCATAGGTACGGTATATAACATATAGTTTACCTGCCTCGCAATTGTTTTTTTCTCATACTCAGGATCAGAACGAGACTCTATCTTCGGTATAGCACATTTTTAAAACTGCCATTTGTCCATGCATTGAATATTGCTGCCATATCTGGTATGTAATGTAATCCATTGTCCTGACCTGTCTAACATCTTGTTTAAATATAATATTGAATCAATTCAGTTCACTTTCCCATGCAGTGACAATTGTTTTTTCTCGTCAGAATCTATCCACATTTTTAAAAGTACCATTTGTCCATGCATTGAATATTTCTGCCATATCTGGTATGTAATGTAATCAGTCCTGACCTGACATCTCGACTTCAATCATTGGTATTTTCTACAAATATTTTCATAGCATTTGTTCCATGAGATTTATCTCGTACTACTACTAGATTGGTAATTAGGTCTCATCGTTTTACTGTTGAATTAGATGTGATCGTAAGTTTTATTCTGTTTGCTTCTTTTTTTTTTTTACACTTCTCGGCTGTGGAACTGTCTTCCGGTTTTATTTTGTTTTTGGGTTGTTTTTTTTTTGTTTTTTTTTTTTTTTTTGTTTCCCGGCTGCCTACAATCTACAAAAATGTAAATGCCACATAATTCGACATATGTCTTCCAGAACTCACTCTTTTCTTTTATTGTCCTTTTTTTCTCACTAGTCTTTTCCATTCTCTTTTACTCCCAGTAAGACTATCGCTTCTTAGTGGCAATATCGCCTTGCTTCGGGTGAAATAATTTTTAAAAGATCACATTATACAAATCACATCAAAATTCAACAATGAACAGTATTAGGCTACGTACACTTGCAAATAGCGATCATCTGAAAGAAAGTACTAATAAAAAAAAATCTAAGGACAGAGGAAATAGCCGTTGCAAAACAATCAGTCATGTCCCATGCGTGATACATGCTTAGGCGATCATGTATCTTTCGATACATGACTGACGAGACAGATTTTTTCCCGCAGTAGGTTTCCATTTACTGTAGACCAGTTGCCATCCAAGGCTATATAACCCGCTCTGTCCTGCAGAAGAGGATTCGTATCTTTTCCAAGGATATTAGCACGTACGTGAATGTAATGGATTCGACTGGTATTCGAACTCGGCTCTCTGATTCCTCAATCCGAGCCGCTATCCATTACTCCACCGTGGGAAACAATAGAAAATAAATTGGATCATAAAACAACAGATGATAATCAGGAGTCAGAAAATATGGAAATTTGATATTAAATTCGAAGACTTTCAGAATAAATGTAGTTCTAGGTACGACGATAAACTGCATCCGACAGGCAGCAAGGTCTCTTATCGGGAGATTAGATGTTTTGACAAGCGTGAAACCACCTTTTAATTACTGTTGTTTACATGCCCACCCTAACTCAAGGTGGTAGTACCTGTTAGGATATCAGCCATGGGCAAATAGTGAACCCCTAAACAAAAGTAAAACACTATGAAAGTATAAAATACACTTTTATGAAGATGCCAACAATACATTTTATATATAAAAAAGCCAATAATACATATTTATAGTAAAATTACCAACACTACCTATTTATCGTAGAATTACGAACAATGCATTTTATAGTAAATGGCCAACAATACATTTTATCTGGAGATGAAGCCATAAAATTGTGTTCAGAATATTTATATTTCGGCATTAAATAACCCATAGAGATGTTGATATGCCGCTAAACAAAATCAAACAACCAAACAAACAACATGAAAAAACTCTTTTATGACATGAGTTTATATAATATTCTACAGTTTCTTAAACAACTCAAGTTGTATTACAAAATATAACTTCAACAAAACTCTAATATAAAACACACATATCACTTCCTCTAGTAATTATATCCACTTAAAAATGTATTGACATAAAAGCTGAGTATCATCTACCATGTATTCAATTGTGAAAGCAGAATAACATATTTTTATATTCGTATTTTTATTACTTCAAATCTCCCAAGAAAATTAAATTTTGGCATTAAAAATTAGACAGAATATTACCCCCACTTGCAATAGTGTTCAACGTATTTCTGAGAATTGGCACATACACATTAATGTTCATAGGTACAGTATATAACATAAATAATACAATATATGACTACTAAACTGTTATGTAATATCTGTCATCCTCTATGGCAATGAATTCTAGACAATCTCCTCAGAGATGATGAAGAGATTTCAGGCAACAGAAATATAATTTTGCAGAATGATGCTGAGAATAACATAGACTGAATATGTGAGTAATTTTAATGAAAAATGAAAACTAAAAGGAAGCTATTTAGAATCAGAAAGGAGACGGTAGATATTTCTCGGGCTCATAATGAGGAATGAGGGCTTGGAGAATTTGACACACATGAGGAGTTGATATGACGTTAAACAAACAAACCAGATGAAATCAAAATAAAGTCTCTTGTTTCGTCTCAGTTGCGACAATTTAATGTCTTTTGATTTTATGTCTTTAATTTATTTTTGAACTATTCTGCAGGTGACGGTGCGAGCTGGATGGATATGGTAACAAATAGTAAATACATGATTGGTGGAAGCGTCGATGGTTTGGGATGCGCTCAACAAAATGGCAGTCATCAAGCGATCGGGGGATTTGGCGGTGGTGGTTATAGCTGTCAAGGTGCAGGAGGCGGTGGTGGTGGTTTCATAGGTAAGCAGATACTTTACCGTTGAGTAATAGTTAAATATATATCGCAGATCTTTTCTACAAAATAGTTTGGATGATTCTCACTAAGTGCTCCATATTTGTAGCCTTATGTCAAACTAGGCTAATTTGAGGCGACGTTTTTTTGTTGTTGTTTTTTTTTTACATTTCCCAATTACGCAGAAAATTTTTGTTTGAATATGCCGTCACTGACAACGGATATACTTTTCATTTTCGATAGTTGATTTTAGGGTCAGAAAGAAATAGCTGAGATGAAAAAATTGGTAGCGTAATTTGTAATTTAGACCCTACCCCAAATAAGGTGGGTGTTGCCCACGCACAACCTTCAATTGAATCGACGCGGATTTTTTTTTTTTTTTTTTTTTTGATTGGGGTATTGATTTGAAACTCCACATATCTTACCAAAACTAGACTGTTCTAAAAGAAAAAATATTGATTCATTCTAAAGTTAATTGTGAATGCAGGGAATACTTCTTTTCCTAATTCACTGTTGTCAGCATAAATCCGAATGCACATTAGAAATATGCCTTCCGAAAGCTAAGAAAAGTATTAAGATACAGAAAAAATCTCGTTAGCCTCAGAAAAAAGAGTACTGAACTGCTACGTCATATACGTCTTCCTACATAGCAGTGAATGCTGGACAATTCCCGCACAGATGACGAAGAGAATTGAAGCAACAAAAATGTGGCTGTCCAAAAACGTACCGAAAATACTATGAACCGAACAGAAAGAAAATGGAAACAAAAAGGACATATACATAACATCAGGAAGAGACAGTTGAAATTTCTACGGCACATAATGAGGAGAGAGGTCTTGTTGGTATCATATACTGTGACGTTCGGGGGGGGGGTGAAAAACCTTGCACCGGCCCTGAGTCCGCCTAACACACGATTTACACACCTTCCTCGTCTTTTGAACAGGAGTAGAGATTTATCCCTTGTTTGCTGTTTAGGATTGGGTTTCCAGTTCCTTCTAAAGTCTACTTCAACTCTTTCACTTCCAGTAGCCCCCTTACATCTTAGTGGCATTATTGCCTTGTTTGGGGTGAATTGATTAAAAATAAAATGTCTCTGCGAGATTGAGAACAATCTTCTAGTTTTATTTTATTTTTATTTGCAGATTAAAATTGAGCAATTAATAAGTTCAAACATTTAAATATTTATAAAGTGTTTTCACGGACGACGGAAAATATGACAAAATTCGAACGCCTACAGGAATAACAGAAGATACCTTTCAAAAGCTAAGCAAAATATAAAGAAAGAGGAAAAATTCGTTAGAAATAAAGAAAAGAGTACTAAATTTCTGTATGCATTTCTGGGATGAGAAGCTATCATTATTTACATGCGGGTTATTTTCCTCATCTTTGTTGTTGTTATCAACAACTGAGCACGACTTCCAAAATAAGCCAATAGATTTATTCCCGACCACGTATATCTTTAGTAAAAGTCCAAGTATTTATCGGCAATCAATACCTGGAAATCAAAATCAAAGATTCCTGTACCCAGGAATAAATCAATAATTATATACATAACAACAACAAAGATAAGGACAATGGTCCGCATGTAAATTGTTGTAACCTAGAAAAGGTTACTGGATGAGGAATAACCAAAACTTAGGTTGGAAATGAAATGGTAATCTTTATAACATCAACAAAATACAATACTCACCAGCAGCGTGAAGTAGGTAAACCACTGCTGGTGGTGAACTACTTAGACTGCATATTACGATATTTACCTTCCTCTCCAGGAGTAGGATGCGTTACAAGGCCAAATCTAATGAAGGGAAATCCGAGCCCGTGGGCTCGGACAAAAATTGCCCGTAGACCCCGCATATGCGGGATCGGGTATCTGTCTGCCTCCCCGGACGAGACTCTGCCCTTCAGCATAACCTCGCCCGGGTTCCTTTCTGCCCAAAGCTTCCCACGCTGACAGCTCACGCTGACAGCTTAGACAGAATATTACCCCCACTTGCAATAGTGTTCAACGTACTTCTGAGAATTGGCACATACACATTAATGTTCATAGGTATGGTATATAACATAAATAATATAATATATGACTACTAAACTGTTATGTAATATCTGCCCTCCTCTATGGCAGTGGATTCTAGACAATCTCCTCAGAGATGATGAAGAGATTTCAGGCAACAGAAATATAATTTTGCAGAACGATGCTGAGAATAACATAGACTGAATATGTGAGTAATTTTAATGAAAACTAAAAGGAAGCTATTTAGAATCAGAAAGGAGACGGTAGATATTTCTCGGGCTCATAATGAGGAATGAGGGCTTGGAGAATTTGACACACACAGGAGATATTGAAGGCAAGAGTGACAGAAGAAATATGTGAAGAAATTACTTAACGTGTTTGTGTCAAAGTTTGGAAGAACTTGGATTAGGTGGGATAGTAAAATGTCAACCCTAACTAGAGTTAAAAATGATAGGAAGTTGTGAAGAGCCATGATTGCGGGGACCTTGAAGCGAGATGGCATGTAGAAGGTCAGTCAGCATAAAACAACTCAAAAGGACGATATTTTGATTGTTTCTCCTTGAAAAAATGCTTGTTCAATCAAATAGTAATTTCCTTTTTCATTTCACTCCAAGCAAGGCGATAAAGTCACTAAGACGTAAGCGGTTACAGAGTATGAAGGAATATGAGAAAAGAAAAATATTAAATGGAAAGAACGGTAGAACAACAGGAGTAAAGAATGCGGGAGATAGTGAGTGACATCGCATTTAAATTTTTGAAGATCAAAGTTTACTGGAAAGTAAATGGCTGAAAGAGACTTCCATAAGCGAGAAGTATTAGAGAAGAAACTCTTACCATAGAACTTACGGTTACAACTAGCATTTTAACTGCAAAGTAATGAAACCTATCTGGCAATCTAGTACTGCGCTTGATTTTGTAAATTCGCGGTACCAAAAAGAAAAGCAATATTTATTTTTAAAATACAGAAATATGGCACAAATCCAAAAGGAGGGGATAGGAAAAGGCTGGTCTTGAATCTGTCTTATCATAAAGTTAGCTAACCACAATTACAGATCCAAAATATTCCACAGTATTCCTTACATCAGAAAAAACGCATTCTTACTTACCATTCTTACTACAGTCACTATAATACCTCAAGTCTCTATGAAGTTCTAACTAGTTTCCATATGTACAATTTGTCTGTGAGGGGTGAAGAAAGCTCATCAGAACAATTACCACGAAAATATTTATCGAAAAGGCACAGGGAAGCTACAACACGGCGGTAGAAAAGTGACTGAATCCGAGATACTAGGACAGGACCAATAACATTGCAAATTCTTTTTTGGATTTTATCAATATCTAAATATCCAGCGAAAGCACCAGACCACATGTGTCAGCAATATTTAACGCATCAAGAAATGGCAGACGTGTAAATTTTCTGACACGGTACAGTGAACCAACTTTCCTAGCAGCAGCCCTAGCAACTGATACAATATAATCACTCCACTTCATGGCAGCGAAAAATGTTAGCCAAAGAAGACGCAATGAAATATTCTCCTGGAGGTGAACATCTGTCATCCTGGTGGAAGATAAAAAAAGGTATGATTAAGATGGCTAAAAAAGAAAAGTTTCAATTTAGAGACACGTTAAAATTAACAGGATATTTCTTACCCCAGTTGTCAACAGATTGTATGTTTATTTGTTTTGTTTTTTTTTGCTTTTTAGATAAGCTGTCAGTTTGACCTTATCGAATCAGTCAAACTTACCATTAAGACAGTAGTAAATAGCTGTGTCATTAAAAATCATTCCCTAAGCACTGTTTTTTTTTTAATCATTGCAGGTGGGCGTAGCGGCGGGGATAGCAAAAGTAACGGACAAGACGGTGCATCATTTATAAGTATCCAAGGGGAAGAGTTCGAGTATGAAGGCAGTAAGTAACCCAATTTTAATATTATTTACCTTTCATTCTTGTTACAAATCATTATCATTAATATTCATTATTTATCCAAAACATAGAAAAGAGTAATTGTGGTGATATCAGCTGTCAACTGTGTGAAGCGAACCTCCCAAGAACCAGGTCAACCAATCAATCCTGGCAAATCAGGTCAGCCGAATGGAGCGGAACGGACTAAGATCAAGGTCAACAGATCCTGACGAAGATTGTCAGCTGTGTGGAGCGGACCTCCCAAAGAACCAGGTTAACCGAACCTAAAAATGGACAGCTGTATGAAGCGGGAAGGACTAAGAACCAGGTCGACAGACGCTGACAAAATGGGTTAGCTGAAGGGAGTAGACCTCCCAAGAACCAGGTCAACCGATCTAACAAAGGCAGCAAAATGGAGCGGAGCATACTAACAGGTCAAGCGATCCTGACAAAGAAGGTCAGCAGAGTGGAGCTGTTCTTTTAAGTACCAGGTCCATAGACCCTGCGTTCTTAATTAATTACTTTTTAAACGAAAGCTGATAGAAAAAAAAAGGTTTGTTCTCTATAAGACAATGGCTTCTAGCAGCCTTAACATGTGGTGTGGTGAGACGACTCTACACACATTCATTCCAAACACTTATAATCAAGGAAAGCGAGTGGGAATGTTATAACTTACTGCGCATGCGTGGCAGAGTTCAAAGCAAATCTGTGCCCAGCGGCTTCACTCTGAGTACTTTAGCTCCGTTATAGCAACAGTGCCGATATTTATTTTTTTTTTTAAGACTTCGTATGTTGGGAAAAATACTAACTGTATGATAGCTGTCTATACCTTTTAGACATAAGTCTTTGGGGATAGATCCGTATTATACCCGATTAATAAGGATAGTGGCTATCATTATTATATGATAGATACATATTATACCCGAATAATAATGATAGTGGCTATCATTAGTATTCGTGTATAATACGCATCTATCCCAAAGACTTATGCCTAAAAGTTATAGACGGCTATCATACTATTAGTATTTTCCCGACATACGAAGTCTTATAAAAAATATCGGTACTGTTGCTATAACGGAGATATATATTTAACGAGATAATAAACACTAAATACACC